CATGGATGACGCGGGTCGCTGGATGCTCGAAGCGCCTCCTGCGGCCGAGTAGTATGCTTTCGGCGCGGCGGACATGGGCACGCGTGCGGAGGTCATGCGCGAGACCGATGCCGGCACTGCATTCTGCCTGACCGACATGGATCTCGCCGTGGGCGCAGCAACAGTGGCTGGGGTCGCTGCGATCCTGGGCTTTTTGAGCGTGCCCTGATGCGGTGTGGTTGACCTCATCGGCGTTGCGGCCACGCCGCGGTTGGACGAAGCGGAGATGGCGAGGGGACCACGTCGGACGCTCGCCGGAGCGCTAACGGGCGGTGCCGTCGGTTGTGCACCCGAAACCGTCCTTGTGCGTTTGCGGTTGGCATTTTCCTTTGCATCTTCGACCTGCTCGATGAGCTCGTCGAGGTAGCGCACGCCGTTGATGGTGAAGGGCTCGCCGTGCTCCTCCTCCCACGCGGGGATGACTCTGAGCAGCTCGGCCTCGATCTTGGGCTTCTGGATCTTGACGCGCTTGCGCATCTTTTCCTCGCGGAGCAGACGGCCCGGGTCGCCGCGGTTGGAGCGGCCGAGCAGACGCGAGCCGTCGGAGGCGGACTCGTCGAGCTGCCTGGCCTCGTCGATGAGCTCCTTGTACCTGCCGATGACCTTGAGGACGGGCGCCTTGAGGCGCACTTGTTCTGTGAGGTGGTCGATCATCTGTTCATGCGAGGCGAGGATCTCGTCGGTGGGGAGCGGCTCGTCGAGGGTGGGGTCTGCGTCGGCGGAGACGTCGATGAAGAAGGGTGGGAATGCGGCCTGGCGTTCTTGGTGGGTGAGGAAGAGCGAGTCCCAGAGCGTGGCGATGCGCTCGCGCGTTTTTGTGATGAAGAGCGACATGTGCTGCGCCTTGAGCTGCTTCATCTTTTCGAGTTCGGCGTGGTAGGCGTGGATGACGTCGAGGGTGCTGCCGCGATGATCCATGACAAAGGCGTCCATCTCGTCTTCGGGCACGTCGAACTTGGCCCAGAGTTCGCTGAGCTCGTCGTAGAGCTCCTGGATGAGCAGCTCGCGTCGCTGTTTCTCTGCTTCGAGCCACTGGAGGCGTTTGGTGGCGCTCGCGAGGTTGGTCTCGGATGGCTCGAGCAGGTGAGAAGGCGGTGCGGGCGCGGCGGCGGTCTTTGCGGCGGACGAGAGCTGCAAGGCAAGGTCGCCGCTGTCGCGTGCCGGCTGTCCGCCGAGCGAGGCGCGCGTGGGTGTTTGGGAGAGCAGATCGTCGATGGCGCGGCTGTTGCTCGAGGCGGCGGCGTCGCGATGTTGGGGCTGCTCGGTGCTGACGAACTCGCCTATGAACGCGCCTGTATGGTCGTCGTGAATGGGTTGGAGCTGGAGGTGCGCGAGGATGGCTCGGTCGAAGCCGAGCGTGCCTCCGCCGCAGTCGGTGTCGTCTCCGCCCGGTTCGGAGTCAAAGACGCGCTCGTCGGAGAGTGCGGCAGGCTGGGCAGGTTCGAGGTTGAGTTCGGACCAGAGCTGGACGACCTCGAGCAGGGTGGTTTGTAGCTTCTCTGCCCTGGCGTTGACTTCCTTGGAGCAGCGGATGATTTCTGCCTCGAAGGAGGCTATCCTTGGTTGCGAGACGTCGCGGAAGGCGGTGGCTGTCGGGGCTTGGGAGGCGAGAGAGGAAGCAGCGTCGTCGTGTGCGGCATCCTCTGGGTACTTGACAAACGTGCCGAGCAGGGGCACGTAGGTCTGCAGCTTGGCGGTGAGACGATCGAGCTGGGCCTCTTTTGTGGTGTAGGAGGCTTTAAGACGCGTCTGTTCGATCTGGAGCTGGGAGCGTCGCTGGAGGAGTGGTTGCGATTCGGAGGGAGCAGATTCGGATGTTGCTGCGGAGGGCGAGGCTGCCGATACCATGCGTTTGCCGATGGCGTTTTGTAGGGATGGTGGATTGGAGACGTGCGACTTTTCGCCTAGCGCCCTCTTGATGTGTGCATTGTCGGCCTCGATCTGTGCGCACTCTGTGCTGAGGTCGGTTGCCTCTCGCTGCACTTTACTGATCTGGTCGTCGACGGCGGATTTGAGAGCATGGTGGAGGGCATCGAGAGCGCCTTGCAGTGCCTCGGGTGGATGGCCGATCTGGGAGTGCAAGCCGACGAGTTTGTTTGTCGAGTCGGCCAGCAGCGTGGCCAGGGCGGCTGCGTCCATGGCTGTGCGTGTCAGCAATGAGAAGTCGGGTGTGTGCGTCACACTTGTAGCATGCGTATGGCGTGGTGAGGGAGTGGGCGTAGGTGGGGGATGGATTGGTGGATGGATTGGTAGAAGGATGGATGGATGGTGGTAGCGGTGCAAGAGCGCGACACATCAACTTCCACACTCGTCGGATGCCCCGTTGCCATGCAAAGCACAGCACAGCACAGCAAAGCAGAGCAGAGCAACACTTCGAAAAGAAAGGCGCGTTGCTGCCTCCACACCGCCGTGCTGCTGGCTGCGATTTTTGGGTGGTTTCGGGCCTGAATTTGGCTCAGTTGCGCTGCTACACGAACGCGTTGTGGGTCGGGTTGTGGTCACGTGCTGCCAATGGGATTTCCGACTCGACTCGGCTTTGAGGTCTTTGCGGTCGGGGCGGGCAGTCTGGCAGCGGCTGCAGGTAGAAGCGCGTGGCGCGCCTAAAAAAGAGGGTCCGCAGCTGCAGCAGCAGCAGCGATACACACAACTCGCACTCGGCGGCTGCCACGGATGGTGTTGCTCTCTCTCTCTTTCTCTCTCTCTCTCTC